GGGCACTTTGCTGCCAGCCAGAGACTGCTCCCAGCAGCTCTGGCAACTCCAGGCCTCCTGGCAGCTCCATACACAGAGGTAGGGAAGGACATACCCCTTGCACTGCGTAGACCAACCGTCATCCATGGCTTCCATGTCCTGCACCCCACATCTGCCTACTTGGTTCTGGATGATCTTCCATTCCATTTTCCACATGTCCATGAGTCCTATCTCCTCCATTCTCTCTTCCATTTCTCTGTGTTCTGTCGTCCAGAAATGCATTAAACACTCTTCTGCTGATTACCTCTGCCTCCCTTTCTCCTGGTTGTTATGAATTTCTAGCCTAACTACTTTACTGTGACTTCAACGGGATTAGAGATGGAGGATGAGTAAATAAACATGCTTGACCTGCCATTTTGAAATCTTGGACCCAAATGCACTGTTTTCCAGGCAACCAGAATAACTCTTCTATTCTGCTTTCTTCATGTTTTATTTAATTTTAAGAAAGACATTACCCTTTAAAGATTTAAATCATTAAATTATCTTTAATTTCTCCTTAACCTTGATCCCCACATCTACTCAGTCTTTGAACCCTCTTATACCCTGCAAAGCTTTTTGAAATCTGTTTCCCATTTAATATTCTCATTGCCCATGTGGAAAGTGCAGACTGGTGAGAGGTTAATTAAGAACTTACTAGCTCTAATCCTCATAGACCCACCTGCACTATTATGACGGCTCCCAAAGTTCTTCCTGCCTGTAATCTCCCCAATTCATCCCACTCACAGTCCTTTCCTATTAGTTCCCAAAAGTACTGTTCTTATCATTCACCATATGTGTATAAATTACCAGAATATGAATCCCTGGAGGTGCTTATGAGAATGCCAGGGAAGGTTTTTTTTTTTTTTAAGATTCAAGCTTCTTAGCTTGGCGTTAAAGCCCCTTCAAGTCCAGGCCTCATTCTCCATTTCTGGCCATACCTCCCACTTGTCCTCCTTAAATACTTTGGGTTCTAGCCAAGTTAAACTACTTTCTAGGTCTTTAATTTGTTCTGCAATTTCCTACCCCTATGTCCTTGGTTTTCCTATTTAAAAAGCATGTTCCCCTCATAGAGAGAAGGTGTTGTCAAAGTTGCCCCCATCTTTCAAGGACCAACTTAAATGCCTGCTCATTGCTGATCCTCCCAGCTGGAATTAATTCTTTTTCTCCTGTTGTGTCTTAATATTTGGTTTACACTTACATCTCTTATAATTCTACCTATATTCTGATTTATGTAATAGTCATTCATGTACACATATTTTCTCCAATATAAACTATATGTATCTAATGTAGACTGCAAACGACTTGAGGGCCGAAGAAGTTGTGATTGTTAATTTTATTTTCTTATAACACTCAGTACAGTGCCTTACAAGTAGTTGATGCTCAATAGATGTACTTTGAGTGGAGGTAGATAAACCATCTGGTAAGGAATGACCATTGCAACATTCAATAACTCTTCATTGTTTAAATGTATTAACCTAACTTTTAAAGTTCTCCATATTATAGCCCCAATTTACCTTCCCACTGCCTCCTACAGAAATCTTAATTCATGCTAAAACATTCTACTGACAGACTGCCAAAGTGGTCCCCATACTGTGTCCATCACCTCTACCTGACCCACATTTATGATTTTCATGAATCAATTCAAAGTGCTTCTCCATCAAGCCCCTGAATGAATTGTAGCCATTCAACCTGCAATGCTCTTTCCATCTTCTGATCACATTGGTAATGTTCATATCAACTGCAATTTTTTTGCAATTTTTCTTATCACTTAAATGTAATTACTATTAAATACCTTCCCTAGCTAAGTCATGTTTCTTTTTATTTGCCACAGTAGTTTGTTCATAGCAGGACTCAGAAAATTTTTGATTTGATGATTTTATCATTCATTCAAATTAGCAGTAATATCATTCCAATGTATTCAACAATATTAATTACATAATTTTAAAATATGCTTTAGTATTTTCAACTATAATTAACATGAACTATGTTAATGAATAATAATACATGAATATATATGCTAATAATTATTTAAAGGATTTTAAAATAAATCTTTTAAATAGGTTAAATTATATGTCATCATGCTTATGTTATATATATATATGCTGTGCATATATACCTTCAGTTATGTATAGGTTAGCAAGGTAAAGAGGTAGCATAAATAGGGGAACACTATGACTTTGATGACGGACAGAACTAGAGTATGTCACACAGGTCTTCTGCTAATTTGCTGTGTGATCTTAAGCAAACCACTTCACCTCTCTAAACTTTAGTTTTCTGAAAGAAAGCTTTCAAATAGGGGCACTCATTCTTACCTCACAGCGTTGTTGGAAGGACAGAAAGAATACATAGCATAGTATCCAGCACAGAGTCAATACTGTCAATACTCAGTCCATCACTTCTTAAAAGATAGGGCAGTCCAGGGGTAGAAAACCCAGGGACCGTGCATGTTCAACTCAACTACTGCCCCAGCAAAACCGAGAACATCCACTACCTATGGCCCCTCTGGGCAGTAGGGACCACTGCTTCCCAGTGGAAATCCTCTTCTCCTCTCCTATTTTCCCCTGCACTCCCAATCAGGAGAGCTTCCATCAGCCAATTACAGACCCAAAATCGAATCCACAAGTCAGATAATGTAACTAACTTTTTCCTTTGGAGGGATAAAAAAAGTGATAGAGGCTGAAGGAAAAATATAGCTCTGCTGCTGCCCCAGACAATGTTCTCAGGCAAAGAAACTGACTCACAGCTGGACAACTTCGAGAAAGAAAATTTTCCACAAAACAGCAATGATGCCACAAAATAAAAGAAAAATGAGAAAAACCTATGACCTGCAGTTCCGTAACTACATCTCTGCTGCCTAACATTCCTGTGAACCTAATGACTCATTTTACTGTCGGATCTCATGTTTTAATCACTTCATGAAGGAGCACATGGAGGGCAGAGCTTGGCCTGAATTGATGACTTCCCCAATAGCTTCACCAGAGCATAACCCGCGTCCTCAAGCCTTTCTCTGCCTCAGCCCCTCCACTGCAAAAACATGGGCTTGTCCACAGAGAAGGAATGGCCCTGCGTTGTGTTGGATCCTCACATCCAGCGCACGCTGCATTTCATCAGTGGCAAAGCTGAAGTCGTATTCAGGTAGGCTGAGAAGAAGAAAAAAAAAAAGCAGGCAAAAATGATCCCAAAACGTCATGCCCGATAAATGGAGGAGATAATAAGAGAGAGCCTGGTGGGCACACAAGCACAGTTAGACAGCGCAGGCCAGGTGGAAAGGCTCCAGCTGGAAAAGTTCAGGGGTTGGGAGCCCTCAATTTGTTGAGCACAGGGTGTGTGAGAGCAAAGGGGGCACCCAAAAGAAGGGAATTGGTGTACAGCGTGACAGACAACAGGGACATCAAGGATGTCTCCAGGGAGACCAAGGAGAGATATCAAGGAAAAGGAGGCCTGGCCCAGGGGTGACCACATACTCAGGGTGCCAGGAGAGGGCTGGCAGAGCGGGGAATGAGTTCTGGCCCCAGAAGCCCCAAATGAAGCCAAAGTGAGGCAAAGTCTGGAGCACAACGAGGATGAGGTGACAAGAGGGGCCGCCATTGACCAAGGAAAGAATCTGAAATATTAATGTGGTCAGAGAGGCAGATAACTTTTATAAGAGCATTCCAGAATGAGCAGATGAGAAAGGCAGTTCAAGCAAGGAGGGAGATATCTGTTTATTTTCATAGGCAATTGTAGGCTTAAAAGGCAATCTGGGAGATTTTTAGCCTTAAATAGATAAGCAGTATACTATTTTCTAGTAGACCACCAAATATAACCTGGTGTCTGGAATACAATTTAATAGGCAATTCCCAGAATAAATTATACCGATGTAGCTATGTATTTTCAGCCTTGTGAAAGGGTGCATGTGTATTTTCCTCTCCCAGAAGTGCATCCAAAGTTTTACTAATTCACAGCCTCCTGCTTCTCCCCACACTGCCCAGTGTCAGATGACATTTCTTGACAGTCCCTAACAAGGACCCCGAAGTCCCAGCACTCGGGATCCCTCCCGCTGCCCCCCACCCCTGCAAGAACTACCTTCCCACAGACAGGGTTCTCTCGGGTATGGCTCTCATCCTGGGGGAGCTGACGGTACACGGCTAGTTTCCTTAGCACCTAATGGAAACTAAACCGGTCCCAAGGACGAGCACAAGTGGATAGGAATCACCTGTGCAGTCCACACACACTTGACACAGCGAACACAAAATACACCTCCCAATTTCATAGCCTTCATTTAGTTCACGCTACTATATACCTCAATTCCACTGGAAGAAAACATATTAATAAAAAACTTCCTACTTCAAAACCCGGCAAATTACTTTGATGCTACTTCAAACTCTGTGTTTTCAGTTCTCCCACATTTTTGCCTTGATCCCTGGATAAGAAACCAATATATCAAAGTGAATACCTTGTTTGTGTTTATCATTGTTATCTTTATGAGAAGGCATTAACCCTTGCCCTTTGAGATAACGGAATCAGTCGACCTCAGATCAAACAAACTGAAATAAGAACGTCTGAGACACGGGAAGTTTGTCCCTAGGATGTTGGTATGCGGTGGCCCTATCCAGCTTTAGAAAACGAACCCCCACCCCCAGTCCCAAGGCATTCAGAAATAATTTTATTTGCTCTTATTCATCAGCAAAGGAAAAGTAGCGAACCCCAGAGCCAAAGACTATTCATCCCACCCTGTGATAACCCTGACCCTAGTAAAGCCAACATCTGTCTCGTGTTTGAGGTGGCTGACGGCCAACTGGGGATCAGAAAACAACAATTTCCCTGGTCAGATGTAAGCCTTGCCCAGCATGTTGACTTTATAAACCACCCTGTAAGCTCAGTCAATTTAATTGGTAGATAGGGTTGTCTTTCCTTGGCTCATTTCCCACCAATTAATATTACCGGCATGAGTACCCATATGATCAGACATACACTAACAAGACTCTGTCTAGACAGGCAGAAAAGGTTTTTTCTTTGTATTTTTTCCAGAATTAGGCATTAATGTGCTACTCGTGAATGGAACAAATGTTTACATAAATCCGTACTGGGAAAAGAAATTCTTTTCTCAAACACTTCCAGGGGAGACATCATTGGCAGGATTAGTTGCATATTGGAGCTACCATATTAGTTCGTTCCCCCTGTACTTCAAAGATGTAGGAGCCAACAAGAGGGAGGGCACCACAGTAAGAAATGTGAGTAGCAAGATTATAAATCAGTACTTTTGACAGGGTGATTCCAGACAGCTTTGCTTTAACCAACATTCGACCTTACTTTATAGTGCTGAGGAGGTATTGAGCATAGTTAAGTTTTAAAAATGACCCTGGCCTTCCCTACAATATGGTATGAAAAACTATAAAAGGCACTTTTAAATGTTACCTGGAAAATCTTAAGTGAGGTATATAGTGCAGAAATATCTGTTATCCAAAATCTAAGATTTTATTGTTTTCAAAAAAGGAATTTTTAAAAGCACCCCCTCCAAGGCAAACAAAAAATGTCAAGCCCTAAGACATAAATAAAACTGAAAACGACCTTTTCCCCAACTACTCAACTCATAACTTTCCCCTATCCCTTTTTAGTGTTTGCTTATACTGAACAAATTATGAAACTAAATCTGCTAGGGAAGGCTAAGTTCATAAGGTTTTGGGTAAGTAACTCCAACAACCATCATTAATTATTAACATTATGGGTTCCTCCATTCTCACAAGTGATCAAACCACGTCAACACTTGGCACATTTTCAAAATTCTGCTAAGAAATAGCAGAGGACACAGAAGTATTATATAATATGGTCCCTGCCCTCAAGGAGTTCATAATCAGATTATCCATACCAGTTTAATTCTTAAGATGACTGCTGTAAGAAGCTGAAACCCAACAGATAACATCATGGTAGTTTTCCTGTTGAAAAGGAAGATTTTCATCAGTTGAATGGACAGTGACATTTCACTTTTAGAGAGAGGAAATTTGGCCTTCTACACATGAGGTTCCATGAGGGCTGCCATCATTGTATCCATTTCCTCCCAAATAAAGACATGTGACCCAAACTGGGTCACACAAAGTCCTGCCCGTCGATGTCTTTGATACGGAGCTAATGAAGGGGCTGCTGCTTCTCTGGAAAGCGGGGGGAGGCACTGACACTGGAGCTTCCTGTGGCTGCTGTTTGCTGCTCATGGGCCCCGCTGAGAGGATAGGGCCAATACACAGAGAGAAGCAGAGAGAAGAGGGACGGCACAGCACTGTACACTCTGCTTCCAGAAACCTGAGGTTAACCATACCCTGCCCTTCCCACAGTTTGGTTATGTTTGCCAGCAGGTTCCATCCCTGGCAAGCCCGTTGGAGTTGGACTTCTATCCCTTCCAACCAAAACGTGCCTTGACATCAGTTGTTCTCCATCTTCAATGTACCTAACAAAAGAAATGGAGTCTTAGACTTCAGCAGGAATTACATGATAGATATGACATACACGAATTTTGACTCTAAAGGGGCTCAACCATTAAACTTGCTACAAAGTGTGGATGTGGAACCTATTCTTGGTCTTCAGATTATCTCAGATGACTGTCTTGAATAACTTTACATGCAGAACAAGGCCTAGACTGATGCATAATTCTTAAACTATTTGTTCTATACATCTTGGACCTGTTGAAAAGGTCCAGAGATGACCCACCCCACTGAGCACTGAAACTACCTATTCCTGCCTTCTGATTCCAAGTGCCCTCCATTCACCATCTGCTGCCTCTGCACCTCCACAGGCACAAATACTAGGACAGCACTGACATACCCGGTGTGATTATTCACAAACACATCTTCGCATCACCTGCAAGTTCTCTGCCTTCTACTGAAGCCTCTGTGGAATCCACTTCTCCCTCCTGGCCATGGGGCCACCACATTAGCTGAATCACCTGCCCTTCCTTCTTCTGTCCCTCCCAACTCAGAAAACCCCTGGTGTTCCCTTGAGGACCACATTTTGAGAACCACTAAACAAGAGGAGTTTCTACGATTCCCGCCAACACTATCATCTCTGCATAATAGCACAAACTTTTCTTTCTCTGAGTGTTCTTTTTTCGCAATTAAAGAGGCAGATTTTAGAAGTTTCTCTCCTTTCTATCCTACAGTTATAAAAAACGAAAAATGGGCATTACATGAACCCAACCAAGAATACTGTTTTTTCAGCTGCTTTTCCTTAACCTTGAGATTCCTGAATTGAAATGGGGGAGGGAGAACAATTAGGTATGATGTTTGGGAAATTGATTCCTAATAGTTTGTGAGGTTTAGAGTATTCGTCATTTCACCCACTATTCAAGTGTTTCTTCATGGTTTGCTCCACAAAGAAAAAGGTCTCTTGGGAGTCAAATCTGTTTGAAATTATTCAGCTCAAAGACTGACACTGTGAAATTAGAGAGAAAGAGGTCAAATAACCTTATCGGTGGATATTCAGAGTAAAGTATGGTCTGGCATCATGTAGACATTCTCAGATGGCCACAGACACTGAAGAGACAAAAAGAATTTTCCAAAAAAGAAGAATTTTTCTTACAGTAAAGAGATCCAAATCCCACCCACATAATTTTTTTGTTGTCATTTTTTCGCCCTTGACCCTCCACTGCTAACACTGCTTCTAAATTACTGCAGACACAGTGGAATTTGGAATCTCCATTAATATTTACAAAGCTTGCCACCCAGGCTATGACCCACCCTGCTGTTTCAGAATGATAAATTCATCTGCCTCCACTGAGACCTGAGAAATCTTATTTCACTGGGGAATAAGCATAATTTCTGCCATACACATGATGTGATTATCAAGTCTGGTTTATTAGCCAGCAGATCTCCTAAGGCTATTTCATGGCAAAAAAAAAAAAAAAAATGTATTCAATAAAACTTTGGAATGACTAGAATATCATTTTCTCCAAAAGTCTTACTTCCTTCATAGCCATTAATGTCACTAAAGTACAAGTAGGCACAAGACCAAATAGAAACAGGTAACCATTTCAGAAATGTGCTATGACACATAAGGCCCCATCTAAATAAGGAATGCACTCTGAAGCAGCTAGAGGCAGAAATGCATTTCCTCCCAGTAGCTCTCCATTCCAACTATGAGTTTGTTTTGTCTTTCACTGAGGAAAAAAAAAAAAATGAGTTGACAACATTTGTTGTTTTAATGATTTTGTTTAAAAATAAACAGACTGGAATCCTTCTTCGTTTTAAGGACCAAAGTCAGCTAGGAAGTTAGACCACATGATTTCCAAGGTCTTGTCCTTGGACAATTCAAAATAGATCTAAAATTCAAAATAGCATACAATGAAGTGACCGATCTTGATACGGTACAGATGAGTGCAGCAGGAATTCAAAAGAGGGGAGCAAAGTGTGACACGGTGTCATCACATGTGGTAGCTCACAGACGTTTTGGTTTGTCCTTCTGGGAACATGAGACACTGGCATATTCACTCTCCTTGAAGTTAGGTGTGGCCAGTGGCCAATTCTGACCCAAATACCTTAAGCAAATGTGACAGTGACATATGGAGTGAAGGTGTCAGGGAGTAGAACCCCTCCAATCCTGTGGGATGGACATGCATTGCTATTTGTTCCTTTACATCCACTGAGATTTGGGAGTTGGAATTGCAATGTAACCTTGGTCCTCCTAGCTGAAAAGGATGGCTTTGTAGAGAAGGCGATACTTTGATCATATAGTGAAGAGAAGAGAGAAGAAAGTGGTTGAGAGATTCCAAAAATGAGATCTAGTCCAGAGATTCTCAACAACATAAAATCAAATAAATGAGAATATTCAGAAATGGGGCTCAGGCATCAGAATTTTCAAAAGCTTCTCAGGTGATTCTACAGTACATCCATATTCAATTATAAATTGTCAATTTACAATAAAATAAAAACATTAAAATAAAAGACTTTTAGGGCTGAGAACCACTGATTTCAATGATAGGAATGAGTGCAGAATAAAAGTAAACAGATAAGACATGAATAAGCACAAAGAGTTTTTGCAATTCCCATATCTTCAAAAGTCCCCAGATAGAGTTTCCAGATAACTTCAGCAAAGATTTAAAAAGTTAAAATTTTGTACTACCAAAAAAATTATTTGACATAGAATGGTCAGTTAACAAATTACAACTGGCATTTCTCAGTGTTGATTTTTCAAAAAAAATTCTTCTTTTTCTTACAAAAAGAAAGGCATATTTGAAACTCCAGGCCAGTTTTACCCCTAAATGATTTATATGTTTGTCTCTAAGGTTCACATATCCATGCGTTATCCATTACACTAATAACACTGTTACAAATAATATTAATAGCTAATATTTATTATTTACTATGAGCAAAACATTATGCTAAGTAATTTGCAATAACCTCACTTAGTCCACACAACAAACCTTGCTGGATAATTTTTTTTTTTTTAATTTCACTCTGTGGCCCAGTCTAAAGTGCAGTGGTGCAATCATAGCTCACTACAGCCTTGAAATCCTGGGCTCAAACAATACCCACTCCTCAGCCTCTGGAGCAACTAGGACTACAGGCACACACTGCCATGCCCAGCTAAGTTTTTTAAAATTTTTGTAGAGATGAGGTCTCACTAGGTTGCCCAGCTGGTCTTTAATTCCTGGGCTAAAGCGATCCTCCTGCCTAGGCCACCCAAAAAGCTGGGATTACAGGTGTAAGCCACCACACCTAACATTAGTTACTATGATTAACCACATTTTGCAGAGGAAGAAACTGAGCACAGAGACATGAAGTAAATTTACCAAGAATGTCATATCAAAGGAGTAGATTTGGGAAGGAACCCAGGTTTTCATGAGTCCAAAACCTACTATTTTGACTATTAGATCTAAATGACTCACAAAAATTTATTTACACTTCATCATTTTACTAAATAACTATAAAAGAATAAAGAAGCTGTTTTAATTTGAAACACAGACTGTTTGATGGAAAAAACAAATCTACGTATCAAGTAATGTGGGTTCTTCATGGGAAATAAACATCATGTCCAAAGTATCACTGTTCTTATAAAAAGAATTTGCTGAGGAGGAAAAGACAAGTTTCACCTGCCCTCAACCCCCACAGTGAAATAGCAATTTGAATTAGTTCACAATTAGCCCAATTCAGAGTCAGCTGTTATTCACACTTAGTGTAGCAGAAATTCATTTGTAGGCAGTGTTAACCAGTTCTTCAATACAAGGTAATTTCAAATTGAAAAATATACAGAAAGGTAATATTTTGATATTTTGAATATTTGAAATTAAATGTAATTGGGAAATTCTTGATTCAAGTTGGTTAATCATTTTTGGGAAAAACTGTCAAGTAGCATTGATTTTAAAAGAACCTTGGATAGCACATATATCCAATATGTCCATAGAGTTGTGCATTTCTTGTGTGATAAATAAAGCTTATGATAAACCAGAACCTTGCCAATGGTCTGCTGTGCAGAACTCCACAGAGACATCCAAACTGATATGCCAATAAAGATCACACACCCTTTTCCAAGGAGTAAATAGGCACGATAGCAAACAACGTAGGCTTACCAGATGAGTGAGAACATTTGCAAACAAATGAGTAGCAGTAATAATTTACTTCAAACTCTTCACAGGTCTGGCACCAAATTTTAATCAGTATGTGTATAACCAATAAAAGCCAAGGGATCTATGTAGTCCAATTTTAGAGTAATATTACATTCAGGAAAAGAAAGTCCAGAAACCAAAAATAACTTTAAAAGTCACTCAAATAATTTACTTGCATTTCTGAAAGACCCCTGATATGGTTTGGCTGGGTCCCCATCCAAATCTCATCTTGAATTCCTGTGTGATGGGAGGGACCTAGTGGGAGGTAATTTAATCACAGGGGCAGGTCTTTCCTGTGCTGTTCTCATGATAGTGAATAAGTCTCACAAGATTTGGTAGTTTTGAAAAGGGGAATTTCCCTGCAAAAACTCTCTTTTTTTGTCTGCCGCCACGTGAGACATGCCTTTCACCTTCCACCATGATTGTGAAGTCTCCCCAGCCATGTGAAACTGTAAGTCCAATAAACCTCTATCTTTTTGTAAATTACCCAGACTCAAGTATGTCTTTATCAGCAGCATGAAAACAGACTAATAAAGTAAATTGGTACCAGTAGAGTGGGGCACTGCTAAAAAGATACCCAAAAATGTGGAAGCAATTTTGGAACTGGGTAGCAGGTAGCAGTTACAACAGTTTGGAGGGCTCAGGAGAAGATAGGAAAACGTGGGAAAGTTTGGAACTCCTTAGAGACTTGCTGAATGGCTTTGACCAAAATGCTGATAATGATACGGACAATGAAATCCAGGCTGAGGTGGTCTCAGATAGACATGAGGAAATTGTTAGGAACTGAAGCAAAGGTGATGCTTGTTATGTTTTAACAAAGAGACTAGCAGCATTTTGCCCCTGTCCTAGAA